GACGCTCTTCCGATCTGATCCAGTCCGCTCCACCGGGGATCGCAGCACCCCCCCAGAGACCCAGAGGACCCGGTCTTTCGGAGCCCACTGCCCCGGGTCTCCTGCACCATGTTCGGGAAGAAGTGCTTCACCATCGAGGCGCTGGTCGGGAAGGACGCGCATGCGCACACGCACGCGCACGCGGACGAGCCCATCCGGCCCACGGCGCTCCGGTTCCCGGAGTCCCGGTTCCCGGAGTCCCTGCTCCCGGAGTCCCGGTTCCCGGGGCTGTTCTCCCGGTTCCCCGGGCCGGCGGACGCGGGGCTCCCGGAGCCCGGGCCGCACGCGCACGCGCACGCGCTGCAGATGCCCCCCCCCCCGCAGGGCTTCTTCAGCCCGCAGCACCGGGACGCGCTCAGCTTCTACCCCTGGGTGCTCCGGAGCCGGTTCCTGGGACACCGATTCCAAGGTGAGCCGGGGGGGGGGGGGGGGGGGGGGGGGGGGGGGGGGGACCGGGGGGGCCGGGGGAGGGAACCCGGATCAGGTGAAGGGGATCCGGGTGAGGGAGTGGAGGGACCCCGGTGGAGGGAACCAGGGTTATGGGTCCGGTAGAGTCTTCCTGGTGGAGGGAACCGGGGTTAGGAGGTCTGGGTGTGGGGCTCCGGTAGAGGCTCTCGGGTGGAAGGTCCCCGGTGGAAGGGCTCCGGTTTAGGAGGCCGGGCGGCTTCCCGGTGGAGGGAACCCGGTAGTCTTCCCGGTGGAGTCTGTCCGGTGGGGACCCGGTGGAAAGTCCCCGGTGGAAGGGCTCCGGAGGGTCCCCGGTGGAGGGGTTCCCGGTGGAGGGAACCTGGGTTAGGAGCTCCAGTGGAAGGTCCCCGGTAGAATCTTCCCGGTGGACGCTCCCCGGATTAGGTGGAGGCTCCCCGGTAGAAGGGCTCCGGGAGAGGGGGTCCGGTAGAGTCTTCCCGGTGGAAGCTCCCCGGTGGAGGCTTTCCGGTGGGGACCCGGTGGAAAGTCCCCGTGAAGGGTTCCGGTTTAGGAGGCCGGGCGGTTTCCCGGTGGAGGCTCCCCGGAAGAGGGACCCCGGATTGGGTGGAAGGTCCCCGGATTAAGGACCCGGACTAAATTTCCCCGGTTAACGGGCTCCGGTGGAGTCCGGACCTCTTTCCCCTTTTAGGGCCTCTAAATTCTTCCCAACTTTTCCTTAAAAAATGCATCTTTTTTTTTATATTTCACGTTTAGTATTTTTTCCAGAATTCCCCATTTGGACAATTTAAACTAAATTATCTCAAATATTTAATATTTAATATCCTGTTGGACCGGACCCGGTTCGGTTTCTGGGTCTGGATAAGGCGGCCTTAAGGTGTTTTTAATGTGGACTGAACCCAGAAGTTTGGTGCTTTTGTTTTGGATTAAAAGCGCGTGAATCATTTCTCTGAGACGCACGCGGCGGCAGAAATAAAACCAGAGAAGAAGAATCCGTCCATCCAAAGTTTGACAAACAGGAAAAAATAAAGAAATTATTTAATTTAAGCGAACAAAGTCGTTTTTCCTGATCAGAAATCCTGAATAAAACAAATAAATAAGGGTCATTTCCGGCTATATTTAATTTATTTAAATCTCTGGAGGCTTTTGGCCCCGCGAAAGAAGCCAGTATTATTATTATTATTATTATTATTATTAT